TACTGGCCAGGTATGGACACCGCAAGACTGTTATTAGCTCTCGAGCAGGGCACCCGATCGCTCGAGAGCTATATTCAAGAGTATTTAGAGGTCGCTAATTATTCTAATTTGCCTGACTGTGTGCTCATAGATTTTTTTTTTTTGTGAGGGCAGTAACCAACCGCTCAAATCACGTTTAATCCATGAGGGTCCCCGTTTATCTCTCGTTCAATTTATGGATTATGCTTTGTTGACTGTTGGTTCACCGTTCACTGTGGGTGTCGCGGAGGAACGCGACCCCGCACTCACTCATGTAATGGCGGCCGCACTAGAGCACGCTCACAAAATGGCGGCGACAGCAGAGCCTGATCGCAAAATGGCGGACACAACAGCGCCCCGTTATGTCACAGCTGCCAATCCTGAATCAAGTCAAGTCACAGTTGATCTTCCTGAGTCTAGTCATGTCACGGTTCATCTTCATGAATCAAGTCAAGTCACAGTTGATCGTCATGAGAGCTTCCAGAGATGGCGGTGCTCACTCCAGGTCCTCCAGAGGTGGCGGCTGAGGCTGCAGAACCCTCCGAGGTGGCGGCTCTCGCTTCGGCTCCTGGTATGGTGGTGGCGCCCAGCAATACACTTTCAGCCTGTCATGTCACGGTCGAAGGAACCGTTGCTGAAATCTGTGCCTGTCTTAAGGAGAATATTCATGAACTTTCCCTGTTTCCAGATGGTACGGCTGTAGAACCTCCAGAGGTGGTGGCATCCGCTGCAGAACCTCCAGAGGTGTCAGTTGTATCCACTTATAAACTCTTGTCCTGTTCTGTTCCGGCCAAGGAGGCTGCCTATGAACTTTCTGCCTGTTCTGTTCCGGCCAAGGAGGCCATCTGTGAACCCTCTGCCTGTCCTGTTCCGGCCAAGGAGGCCGCCTATGAACTCTCAATCCAACCTGTCGCGGCTACTAAAGCCGTAAATTGACTTTCTGTCAGTCTTGTTTCAGTCAATGAATTTGCTCCACCAGTCCCAGTTAATGAGTCCAAATTCTGAATTGTCTTCCGGTCCAGTTTTCCACAATGACTGAACCGTCAATTTGTGCAGTTTCAGCCAACACGTGATTTTGAGTTCTCCGTTAGTTCACTCTCTGTCTATGCACCCAATCTTGAATCATCTGTTTTGCCAATGTCAGTAAGTGATCCTAGTGAGGAAGTGTCTGTCTGTTCAGTGCCCCAAGGTGTGTCTAGCTCAGAACCATCTGTCTTACCAGTTTCAGTCAAGGAATCTAAATCTGAACAGTCTGCTGGTCTAAATGTAGCTGTTGAATCTGTCGCTGAACTGTCTGCCTGGTCAATCCTAGTCTGTAAGCCTGTTTATGAACTGTCATCTTGTCCAGTATTCCAGAGACTGTTTGATTTCCCTGTCTGCCCAGTTCCAATCAGGGAAACTGTTATCTGCCCCATTTGTCCAGTTAACCCTGTCACTGCCATAGAGACCATTCATGAACTGTCTGCCTGTTCTGTTTCCCCAAATGTGTCTGTTGAACTGTCTGTCTTACCAATCCCAGTTAGTGAGTCCAATTATGAACTGTCAGCCCAGTCCGTCATGGCCAAGGAGACTGTTAATGAACTCTTTACATTTCCTGCCTCGGTCCTTGGGGCCGTGAATACTCTGTATGTGTTGTCTGTCTCTGCTTTTCCTAGGTCTCAGTCTCTGCCATGGTTTCCTGATGAGTCTGGTCCTCCGTGGTGGTCTTCTGCTCCGTCTACTCCGGCTTGGTGGTCTTCTGCTCCATTTGCTCCGGCCTGGTTGTCTTCTACTCTCTCTGCTCCTCCGTGGTGGTCTTCTGCTCAGTCTGCTCTGGCCTGGTGGTCTTATGCTCCTCCGTGGTGGTCTTCTGTTCCGTCTACTCCGCTGTGGTGGTCTTCTGTCCTGCTCTGGTGGTCTTCTGTTCCGTCTGTCTTGCCGTGGTGGTCCTCTGCTCTGTCTGCTCCGCCCTGGATTCCTGCTTCGCCGGCATCACCCTGGTTCTCTGCTCCGCCCTGGTTCCCTGTTCCGTCCTGGCTTGCTGCTTCGCTGGTTCCGCCTGGGTGCCCTGCTCTGCCTCAGTCCCCGGTCTCTCCACTTCCA